GTGATAAATCAGGGAAGGAGACGAGGAAACGATGTGGCAGCCTTGGTGGAGGTACAGAAGGGAGGGAGGATTTGGATAAGCAGAATGTGGGAGAAGGGAAATCTTTAATTTATTCCCTGGGATAGTGGAGGCAAATGTGGCTGTGGTATCACAAGACTGACAGCACATTGTGAGTATGTCAGCTATGTCTCCTATCTGGCATGTCTGTAAGTGCTAGTACATGATGAGACAAGTACTGTTAATTGCATCGTTGTGTAAGAGCCCCACCACAGCCTATGGTGCCAGGCCTTGTTCAGAAGGACATGGAGTAGTCTGATTCCAAGAGACATAATCATGATACTTTTCTGCCTGAAAGGTTACGTTTGACAAGGTGGGTTTACCTTGGCAGAGCATTCTTCCTGATGATATGTTGCTTAGCCTGTATTATCTAATGATATCAGCCAACATTCAGCGTGGCTGGCAAAGGACAAAAATGTTGATAAAGAGTGAAAACTCGAGTATGCTTCAGGCCTCCTTAGCATCATTACAGATTCAGAAAGAGCCAAGATAAGAAGTATTTCCAGGCCACTGCAGTGAGGGTAATTGCTTCCTTACCTTTGAAGATCTCAAAACGTGAAAGCTCTGTTGTTCTCCCCTCCTTTCTGCAACTGAGAACTTTGTGAAATTGCTAAATAAGAGCCATCATATGTTTCATATGAACCTTCCAGACCCTTGTGTTTCTCAGATGAGATCCTGATACTCCCCCTTGGCTCCAGTGATCTGATTCTTCGTGCAGTTTTTTTTGCTTATGCGAGATGTTCCTATTTTGGATCACAGTAGTAGAGGTGAGAGCTGCAGCGATGTCCCTTGTGACAGAGGAGAGACACAGAGGGCACTAGCACATGGTGCTTGCTTGAGGCATGAAGAACACAGCCTTGCTTGCCTTGCTGGAGGCCCACAAACCCACAGCTGCAGCCAGAATTAATTGTCTGTGCAGAATTGTAGAAGGCTGCAGCCAAAGTTCTGTCTTTCCTATTTTTTCCCTATTGGTACAAGTCTACTGCAACCAATTCCCATTTTGAGGTCCTATTCCCCATTGTCCTGGGGCTAACTCTTCCTTCAGAAGAAAATTGAAGGAAAAGCAGCAGGAGTTAAGAGCGTTCAGGAGTGCACTGAGAAGTTTCAGGCTGCCCACAGGTAGGTTGCTTAGACAGCTGTGAGCAAAATTAGGTATTACTTACATACTTTTCTCCTCTTTTCATCCTTTGGTGAAACCAGTATTTCTTAGCAATCATCTATGGAGAGAGCTTTTACAATGGCATTGCTGCCCAGGCATATTTCATGTCTCTAATATGATAAAGTAATGCTTTCCCTTTATTTCTAACACCATCTTGAAAGTTAGTGGCATATGAATGTGGAACGTTAATAATTTTTCTTTTGCTCTGGCCCTGGTGTGAAAATGGCATTGTGTGGATGGATTTCATGTATCAACCTTTAATTTTGTTTGGTTAGAAGTCTGGTAGCCAGAAGAGGCAGCTTGTTTCTCTGTGGGTAATTAGTAAATGAATCTGCTTATGTATAAATTAAGTTTCCATGTCTTTTATGCCCTGAAACCTCTCCCTCTCAGAGCAGCAGCCTCTGTGAAGGGGAGAATCTGCCTTAGTTAAAGAGATCTGAGCATGTCCATGCTTCCGCCTCCGTCCTTCTTACACAGCTCAGTGCTGGGTTTTCAGTGGGTGACAGCCTCTGCCCTGTTCTATAGGAACATTCTCCAGCAGGTACCTCCTGCTAGCCTTGGCTTAACTGCCTTCTTCCAGTGATGGAAGGCATTCTGCAATGGAAACCCAAATCCTGTCCCTAGCCGGTGCACTTCTTTTCAAATGAAAGCAGACTATCTGGGAATTATATTGTAAGAGCTGTGTACTGGTATAACCCTCGTTTTACAGTCACATCTTTTCAGTCAAGCTGGGGGAGTCCTTGCACGGTTAGTGAGTGTGATTTGTGCAGTTAAGAAGAAAAATAAAAGAAACGTGCTGCCACCTGATGACTTACTGACCTCCTTCTGAAACAAACAAACAAGCCAAAAGCCAATAAGCCATCAAGTGAAGCAAGGGTGGTGCAGTTTCTGATGGCTGAAGCCCTTTGCAGAAGTGTTTGCAGGTATAACATTTTCTCATTTCTGTTCATCCACAGATAGGGAGAAGAGGCATAGGGTGAGAAGAATTAGCCCATCCTTATTTATATGTACCTGCCAAGGCACACCCAGTGGTACTCTGAGGTTATGCCTTATCACCTGAGGCTGTTCAAGCCTCTCCATTTCTGTCCATGCTCCCTTAATCCTTCCAGTTTAAAGTGGGATTACGTGCTCAGTGGTCTGCAGTACTTACTTGTGGGTACAGAAGTCTTTTCTGTTCTCTAAAGCATGAGTAATAATGAACCAAATTACTACCAAGAGAAATTCCTCATGATGCTGATCATGCTGTTAAGGAATATATGACTTCTTGAGACGCAGGCTTAGCCTTCCAATGCAGACAAGGCAAAAGAGAGCAGTAATGTAGTCCCAGAGCTGAGAAGAAACCAAGGGCCAGCCATTAGGGACTAATGTAAAGTGAAGCCCTCTCAACTGGCTAATGAGATCCATGGCTTATAGCATTTAAGTTGGTGGGATTTTAATAATTTCATTACTGGTCACAACCCCTGCATTGCATTCTTGATCTCTGAATTCTCTTTTCTATTGTTGTTTTCAAGTGCATCTTAAAGTGTGTATCAATTAATATGGGGAAAATTGGAATAAAGTAAAATTTGTAGTTTTAAAAAATAGCCAGTTTGACACATAATAATCAGCTAGCTTGACAGACTTAACAATAAAATGTTGTTAAGACATCAGTGTGGAAGAAGAGACTATGTATTAAGTTTCTGACAGCTGCATTCATGTTTACAGCTTTCAGAAACCAAACAGCTTTATAAAAAGCATTATAATTTCTGTAGAACAAAGCAATATTGCTTCCATTGCTCATCTATGCCAGGAACGATTTTCAGTGCTTTCTCTCAAGTCTTTAAAAAACCCATTTTCTTTCAAGAAAGGAATAGGTTTTGAATAAACAGTATGCTAGACAGAGCTGTTTAAAAAACAGCAAAAAAAGTTTTCTAGAGAGAGCTGAATTTCTTAAGGCTATGAATTTATTAAAATTTAGAAATTGCACTCCTGATACAGAAGTTATTTATGATGTGACACCAATTCACTGAAAACCTTAGCTGCAAAACATTTGGTGGCTGAGTTACAATGGAGGTGATGGTGTGATTATGTCCCACATTTAGCTGATTCCTTAACTTTTAGAGCATTTGTCCAGGAGTGAGGAACTTCTGGCTGAGGGAGATTAAACTCAAATATGCAAGAGCACTATGTCGGAGTGGAGCTTCTCCAGTACCTGCTGCAGGCCCTGATCTCCTCTGAGTAAATTAGCTGTAAACTAACTTCCTCAGTGAAAACTAGCCGCCTAGGAGAGGGACAATGCTGCTGATGAGGTTCAGAGGGTTCCCTCTCGGCTGATGGTGGGCTTGATGTCAATATACAAGATGCAACAAGGTAGAGACTTCCTATGAAGAGACTTATCACAAAATGCTCTCTAACCAATCACCTCAGGTACTTGCTTGGGTTGGAGTAGGCCCAGGATAGAGTTCATTTTCCATCAGGCTCCCAGTGGTTCCAGTTTAATTGCACCTACAGTTAATTGTGTGTACAAGCTGGAACAGTCTGTTCCCACCATGGCTGATGATCTGGTAAATAATGATCTGGGAAGTGGCAATGAGGGGTTTGTTCTCTCCAGCACAAGGGGGAAACAAACCTAAAACTATCACAGCTTGGGCAATTTCCTTGAGCATTGAGTATCCCTACTGATATTTTTATTTTTGTAGTTCATTGCAGAGGTATAAAAGAAACTCGACTTTGATTTTGTTTCCTTCTCTAATGAGTACCCTGAAATGGAATATAACAATTTGTATTGAATAGAAGGTCTCATGTAAAATTTATGATATTTTTACATGTCTGTAAATTCCTTAGATTTGGATTTGATGGATTTGAATAAATCTGTTTCATCCTTTTTTGAGAGGATTAGACTGACACATTTGATTAAATTTTATCTGGACCGATGGCCTCAAGTTACTATGGTTCAGACACTGAACACTGAAAAATCACTCTATTGTTGGACCCTATTAGTTCACTTCTATTCATCTAGCAGAATGCAAATGTCATAATTTGAGAAGTCCATGACTGATTCAGAGATACTCTTATGTCTTCAGGCAGTATTCTCTGTAGAGGGGTACAGGGTTGTGCTGACACTGTCATTTACACATGGTTTGTGGAACAGTGCATCTCAGTTGAACAGTATATCAACACCTGCCCTAACTGGGCATTTTCTGGGTGAAAAAGCAGTTTCCATGTAAGTTATTCGCAATACTAGTATTTTCAACTCTATAGACAAATGGTATGTGAAATGGTATGAGGACTCTGTAATTTAGCAGGAGAGCAGTAGTGGGTGAGATTTTCTGTGAATTCTAGGTACAGTGTGAATATATGTAGGGGATAGTGTATTTCAGTGACTGAATGAAAAGACTAAATGAAAGGTTGACATCATTATTTTAATTAGGCTGCATGAATATTTACTCTACTTCAATTAAAAGAACAACTCAACTACAGTATGTTTCCCCTTGTAGATTATTTCTGCTCAAATGCTTAGTGGAGGAATTACAAATGTCAGTGTTCTTTCTCCTCCTGTATCCCTATCCAGTCTCTTCCTTAACAGTATTGCTCTGCACATAGTACATTGTAGCTCATCACAGTGAATCTCATCTGTAGCAGCTGAAAAGACAAGAAGATTATGCCTTTTAAATCTGGGCAGAATAGGCATTTTGGGTACTGCAGTTTTCTGAGGTGCTTACAGGAATTACTTTTTTAATAAACTGTTGTATTGTCCTAAGTGTATGGGGATGTTGTACTAAACTTTGGCTCCTTCTTTTAACAGGCTGTGAAAGAAGAGACCTCTTTTGTAAATCCCAGTAAGACCTCCGGCCTGCAGGACCCTAATGTAAGGTCTGTTGCTTCTTGTCTGTAGGGAAAGCATCAAATGAATGCATGATATAGTGAGGCATTTTCCAAACATTATCTCAAACTGTTGTTGCATTTCAATTTGCTCATTAACAAGTTGCTGTGTAAAATTCACCAAGCAACATCCTGAGGAGAAGGTGGTTGCCAGAACAGTGCTTATTTTATGCACATATATCAGATGCAGTTTAAGAATTAATAAAAAGTTCAAAGATCAGGCTGAGTGGATATACCTGAAAAAATTAGAAAAGCTCAAGATAAGAAATCAGTCTAGTGATAATCTTAGAAAAGCTTATATAAAAATAAGTCCGTTTTCATAACTTTTATATCAGAAACATACTAGATGTCCAAACTAGAATATCCTTGTGGATATCCTTTGTGGGTTTTTTATTTGTGCAAGGTCTTTTGCAGAAGAAGAGACATTTGGTAAACTGCCTTTGGAAAAATGGCTCATTTTTAGACAGTGATGACTACTTTTGATTTTACTTTTTGTATGTTGATAGTGGATAATAGTCTTTCTTCTTTTGGATGGCCATTTTGGAGAGGCATATTAGTTGTAAACATTAGTTGAGTGGCACAGTATGCTGTCTTTCAGCAGGTAATTAGAGAGGAGGTTATAGTATGTGTATTTGGAAATTGCCTGTCTCTATATATATGGCAGTGCCATCACTTTGGACATCCTTAGTGTCAAAATATGGGAGTATGATAGAAAAATATTACAGATTTAAAGCATATCAACCCCACTGGATGTTAATCATGCTAATTATGCCAGTGTATATGCTTTATATATATATATATATATGTTTATATATATGTAATATACATATGTACTAGGGCACTAGTCATCTCAGGATTTTACTTTATAACTTTCTGATGGTGACTCTTGCAACTGAAAGTAGACATTTAAGCATCTTATAGAAAACTCCGATTTAGGGGGGTATTGAGTTATATTTGACAAATTAAATCATCCTGAACTCAAAAAGAAACACTTATAGGTGTGAAAATTTGTCAACCCTTTTTTCTTAAATGTGTGTTTTTCTTATAAAGTGATAAATCAACACTAGTCTCCAAAAAACATTTAATTCAGAAATTCCTTTTTGATCAGATTGGACTAGCAGAGTTGCTATGTTTGCTTAGTGAAAGCAGCTACCTAGACATGAACAATGATTGTTCGTTGTGCTGAGGCAGGAGGAGATACAAGAGGTGATGCTATTGCCTCCCATGGTGCTGACTGGCTTTCATGATTCCCAACTCCCCATGTCTCTCATCTCGAATTATCTTGCAGAGCTGTAATTTCTAGCCTGATAGGCCATAATTCTCTTGTTTGTCTGAGAGTCTGCAAAGTCTGCTTAATATTTAGAATCACCCACTTTTTTTCCTGTGCTGTTGCTCTTCTTAGACCTCTGGAAAACTTTCTTAAGAAAATTCTTTTCTTTCTTATGAAAATTCATCATGTATGTGGCAAATTGAGAAATTTCTTTGTTTAATACAAAGGGGTTTCATTTATTGTCTCCACCACAACGCTCTTTGTTGGGTTGGCTGTCACTGCCAGAAACAGTTCAAGACAACGTGGCTGTATAGCCCTGTGTGATTGGGAATGTGGCTACAGACTTTTTTCCTTAATCACTTCTGCTGAACTTCTGCATAACATCAGAAATTATCTCAGTAGATTAGAGCTTGGTGCTTATAAAACCGGTGTTATAGGTTTGATCTTGGTATGGGCCATTCACTTAAGATTTGGACTTGATGATCCTTGTGCATCCCTTCCAACTCTGAATACTCTGTGGTTCTGATATGAGATATCTATAGAAAAGCCTTTCTGTTTCACATTTTGGAATAGGCTTTTCCTGTTTCATCATGATGAACTGTAAATGAGTTGTGTGCTTTTTGAGGTGAAGTACTATTCAGCATGAGGAAAGGATGGCAACCTTGGATGGCAGCAAAGCTAATTTTTATTGTTTTCATTTGCACACCTCCAACCTTATAACATTGCAAAAGTCGCTTTGGAGTTCTTGTTATGCAGCAGTCTGGTGTATATTTGTCTAATATTTATTTTTATTTGGTTTATGTCAAGCACTGTTTCCTCTACAGTCAGTTGTGCCAAATGAAATGGTATTCTTTCATTGCTGTGTCCTGGGGGTACAAATATACAAGTAATCAATGCTCAGGGGTAGACCAGTTTTAAGGGATAGACCAATTTTAACAGCCTGCCTTCAAAACTCAGAGAAAAATGCAAAATAAATCCAGTGTCCAACCAATTCTTTTTCTCTTTCAAGCAGCTTCCCTTTCTGCAGGCTCCTTTGCAGCCAGCCAGCATGTGACCTATTTGCCGATAACACCCTTTATAACCTCTATTTTGTGGAATTTGATGGATCTAAATGAGCCTTTGCTCTACTTGGAATTGCATCTGAGTAGAGCCAAGGATTAGTTCATACTGAGAGACCAATCAGCTGGGAGTTTTCCTCTTCTTTAGTTGAGACAAGGAAAAACATCCTTTGTAAAAAAAAGACTTCCCCAAGGAATATGATTTTTATTTCTGCAAGTAACCATGCAGACATTTCTGTAGATGACACCTTTGCGAATCTTTGAAGATTGGTTGTTTGCTGAAATATCTTGCCAATTGAAACCAATATCTGTCACAGCTTTTAAACAGTGCTTCAACCTTTTTCATGCAAGGGATTTATAGCAGGGACAATGACTTTGTGTATTTGAATGCTGATGACTGTACAAAACACTAGCAACATGCTGGTTTTTTCCAAAACCAAGACAAGGAAATTTTTTCAGGCCGGCTAGTAAGCAAACATGCAGTTTTGAGCACTAACTGAAGCATGAATTGTTCATACAAATAAGGAACTAGAAGATGAGGGAGGAGAGCAGTAGTGCTTGTTTGATTAAAAAACTGTGCTCTCTTTGCTACCATTTTGTCTACTCATCCATTGCCACTCTGAATATTACACTTCTAATGAATTAACTGCTTAGATATGGCCTGTAATCTCCCTGAGCAATTATTTTAGCATCTGCCATAGCAGACTCAATTTGGCTAACAATTGCTATAACTCCTTGTAGAATTAGTTCTGGTTTAACTAGTAATTACTCATATATATGTGTGGTATAGCCACTTTGGCTACAAGCAGGTCTCCAGTCATTTTGTTGGGCATAGCCTCAGGGATAATGTTGTGCTTATGCAAAGTTGTCATGTATCTGTCAGTTTATCCACATATTTTCTGTGTCGGCTGGCAAACTGTGAATACTTCTTCATCTAAGTAAATTTAAATATGGGAGGCAAAAAATCACAGCTGAAGCTGAAATAGCACTATTTTGTCAGTTTTCTGGGGGGGAAACCTTGTGAAATTTGCTCTGTCATTTGGTGCACAGGCTGGAAGTGCAAGGTTGTCTCCTGTTCTTCCTGTTAATAGATAACCTGTACAAAGCAGGTTAAACTGATGTGAGATCACAGCAGACTACAGTTCTCTCTCCCTCCCTGCTTTTGGACGGCATTGCTTCATGTTTCTATAAGTTTCCCTCCCCTGGATAGGATTTTTTTTTTTTCTCTCGGACAGTTTCAAGTACTGGTTCCCACATTTAGCGAGGAAAAAGCTGGTGACTTAGTAACCCAATATGTGCTGCAGTGTCCTATCTTACATTCTCTTTAATCCTCTATTAAGACTGATAGAATGCACTATAAATTGGGACATAGTCGTACCTTCCCCTTGCTGACCCTGCTGCTTTGCTGATAATCCTTAACAAAGCAGCAGATCTGGACAGTGGCTATAGGAAAGTTGTATGGTTACCTCAGCTGGATCCTTCCAGGCTGCACGTGACAGAGCTCTCAGCTGAACAAAGTATAATGAGAGCAGCTGACAGGAGGGGAATTTCTTTTGTGGGTTAAACAGCAGAGACACGAGTTATCTTGATAAGACACAGGAATCCTACCAAGAAGAGTTAGACATTTCTTTGTCACAGTTCTGTTGTAACAGACTGAAAGCACACACAGTTTCTTCAACAGCAAAGTAATATGTGCAGAGAAGTGGAGCCCAACTATGTAGCTGAGCTGTATTTTGGACAAGGAAGAGCAAAACATTGGTTTACAGAAGAAATACCTGAAAAAAAATGTGTTATTTATGTATTTGCATTATTTTGCTTTTTATGTTGAATCAAAAAGAGATATGGTTAGTTTGCAGTTACCACTTTGCATAGTGAGGCATGTGTTGTTAAGGCATGTAGTAAAATGTGTTTATGTGAACTTTGGTTTAGTTTGGAATTTTTAATGCAAGTCATTTTGCAATGATTTTTAATGGTACTTCTTTTGGGATGTAGTGCCCAAGTGATCATGTCAGTCCTTTTAAAGATCAACAAAAGAAATTCATCTTACACTAGAACTAGAAAAGCCTTTCTTCTAACAGAACAGTTTCTTCTTTGGTGTTGTAAGAGAAGAACCTGTCATGATGACAAATGAGCCAGAAGGGATTGTGAGGAGGTATTTTCCTGTTTATTAGAGAATTCTTTACACCCAGGTATCTGACCCAGTGTCCAGATGGAAGTGTCAAGAGAGAAGTATTCAGGGAGAATTTGCTGATTAGATATTTAATTTAATTCAGATTTGAAAATGTTCCTAAGTATAGTTTTGCTAAGTCTCTCATTCTCTGCTTTCACCAGCTAGGATTTTTTTTATTTGTTTATTCTAGCCTTGAGAGATCAGGGTTTCAGCTGTCTGCCTGAAACATTTGTATAATGAAGGAAGTATAAAATATTATACAAAATATAAAAATGAAAACTGTAGTCAGTTTCTTATCGTCTCTGGTCACACTTCTTGATCCAGGACCTGACCCATCTACCAGTTTTACATGCAGAGGTTTCTCTCCTGCAGGATATCACTTGAATGTGAATCACATTTTAACCTTTTTATAGACCTCTCCCATTTCTCAGTAAAGGGATGTGTTGTTAGAAAGATAACCTCTTGAACTTTCTTTCCAGAAATTTACCACCTA